ACGTGCATCCATATTCTGAGTAGGAAGAACGGCGTTTTGTTAACGTGCCGCTGGAGGAGCTCCTCAGGCCTGTGCAGTGGGGTTGCTGGAACCAGATGTGGAATTCCACTATGTGAAGCTGAACTCTCCAACTTGAAGTGTGTTTTTATAAACGCAGATATCTCCAAAAGGGCAAAACCGCTAAGCCAGGGTATTTTTGCTGAAAGCCAAAATGGAAGCTGCACATGTTCATTGATCATTTTGCCTGATAAATGTTTTTCAGTACTTTTAAAAGTCTGTTAAGGGTAAGGGTATTAAGTTTCGCTTGAAATATTTTAGAATATTCGAGGAGTCTTTAAGAATATGTAAGTGATCCTAAAGATTTTTTTCTTATAATACTGTGCTAAACATCACGTAAAGAAAAATTACAAAATGAAAGCAATAAGATTTGCCTGCATTCGGTGAGATTTTGTTTGATTTTGTCCCCATAGTGTGTTTAGCATTTCACTGTGTAAAGCTTCACTGTGGCAGGTGACTTTTCTTGGGGTGTAAAAAGTAAAAATCAGAAATGGTAGCTGCAGTATCAGGTCTCGATTATGCCCTAAGAGGACGATAATCACTTCCATGTGCTCATATGACTTTGTGCTCATAGCCACTGCACCGCTGTGAGAGCATCCTTGTATTTGCCTGCTCTGTGTGCCCTGAAAAATTGAGGGAAGACGTCGTTAAGTCTGGGGATTCCTCTTTGTCCTGGGGGTTTGTGCTTCAGAAACAGTTGAGGCTCAGCGTTGTGGCCGGAAAGCTTTTTCTTTGCAATCGTTCAGCACGTTTTTTATTGCTGGTCCCTGCAAATGGAGGTAGGTCTGAATTTGATGCTTTGTCTGTTCCGTCTTGGTGGCTGCCTGACAACTGTGGGTGAACCTGAGTGATCTGATGATCCGTGTGCTCCGTTCTGACCTCTCGGGAGAGTGAGCTTTTTGCTTGTGGAGGTAGCATCCCTTGGAGAGAAGCCTACCTACCCAATTTATTTTCAAATACGGTATTTTGTTTGATGCTTGAGAGGTACCACGTGTTTCTGAAAGTTGTCCCATCTCCAAGATTCCCACTCTGCTCAACTTAATTGTGGAAATGATAAACCCCAGCCTCAACCAGACATGGCATCAGCAGATATTCTGGATATTGATCAATGTAACTTTCCAATTCATGTCGCACTTATGCTATTATGTCTCATAGGCATTCTGGTGTTAAAATAGTTGAAGTGCATTTATTTAATCAGGAGATTTGGTTCAGCCTGACCCTCCTAAACATAACACTGATACTTACAGGAAAAATGAATAATTTTGAAGAACTACAGGCAATGTCTTGATGCTTGACTGAAAGCACTTTGCTATCTCTGGACTGGTCAACATTAAAGCCATTTATCTTCCGCCGACATCTAGTGCCAATTTGGGTCTTTTATTCCCGCTTTGAACAGGGCAATGAATGGTTTGAGCCATAATCATATAAAAGATGTTTTTTAAAAAAAAAAAGAAAAAAAAAGAAAAAAAAAACAGTGAATCTTTAAGAACAAAAGCAGCAACGTGGCTCTGGACAAAATGTGAGAGAACTGGGCATAAATCATCCTTGCTAAGAAGGTCTGACTGTGGCATCCATTTCCATAAGGGAGCAGGAAGATCGACCTGCGTTTTCTTAAAAAATGCATTTTTTTTTTCCCCAGAGGAAGAGCAACTCAAAATCAGCCCTACCGAGCAAGCCTTCACCTGTTGTCACAATGACAGTCAAAAAAAAAAAAATAGTAGTCTGAAGCTGCAACTTTGTTTTGCCCTGAAGACTACATTCAGATGGCCTAAATTCCACTTGAGACCCCTTTCTTAGTCTGTGGAGAAATCTAGGTGTTTTTGGAGAGTAATTCGGAGTTTATGTAAGATGCTGAACAGGGAGCTGGAAGCCAGCTAATAAGAAATAGTAGGCAGAAGGATTTATGTGGAATTTAGGCCATCTGAATATGGCCCTAAGATGCGACTTAGTACTGCTAAGTAAGGTGCATTAACACTAAGAAGTCTTGGCTTCGATTTCCATCCATTTTGTGTGCTGTTGATTACTGAGCAAATTTGCCATTTAAACAGGTGTGCAGGGCTGGGGCTCGTGGCCGTGCTCCCCGGCAGAGCATCGGCCGCTGCTCGCAGGATGGGGACTGTGCGGGTGCCTGGCAGCGACGTGGGCTCCTGGGGCGCTCATCCCGCGTTAGACCGCGCGCCGAGTGCGGCGTCCAGCTGCGTCCAGCACATGCTGATGAACAGCAGCGAGTTCTCCAAGTGGTCTTTGGAGCTGGAGCGCCCGCCCTCTGAGGGCGCTGGGCCTGTTCTGCTGTGCTTAGAGACCAGGGGCTTTGGGAGCGTGGTATTTTGGGGGGAGCGTGAGAGCAGCCTTCTATACCTATGGGGAGATTATCAGAGTGGAGCCAGGCTGTTGGCAGCAGTGAATGGTGGGAGGACAAGAGACAGGAGGCAAAAATTGCAACAAGAGATTTTTAGATATAAGGCAGAACTTCCTCACCGTGAGGATGATCACCCACTGGAACATCCCGCCCGAAACAGTTGTGTTGTCTCCATCCTTGGAGATTTTCAAGACCTGACTGGATCAAGCCTTGGGTAACCAGATCTGATGTGAGAGCTGACCATATTTTGAGCACGAATTTGGTCTAGAGACCTTGTGAGGTCCCTTCGCACCGGAATTATTCTAGACTTCTGTTTGGATTCTGCCCACGGAGCTGTCATGTTGCCTGGAAGTTTCTGAGACAGCTAATTTGGAACTGGGTGCAGTGCAGCAATTGCAGGATGGAGTTTAATGCAGGTTGATTTATCATGCTTGGAGGAATGCAGCAAGTATTTGAGCCAATCTTCAGAAGCTGTCCAATGTCAAGACTTTATTTGTTTAATTTTGCACCTAGAGTTGGAAGAAGTTCACTTCTTCCTGAGATTCCGAGCAGCATCATGGTTTGCAGTGTAGTAGGGCATGAAGATCTCTTGGAGGATTCAGGGGCCAGCTTCACGATACCATTTGGGATCTATTTTGAGGATGTTGGAAGAAATCCCTTGCATCGGTCAACATCTTAATCCCTATCTCCTGAATGACTGCTATTAAATGCAGGACTATAGGATGAAAATAAAGTTCAGGTCTCCTAAGGAAGCAGATATTTCAAACTGTGGCAGTTCTTAAATCAAATGAGGAAAATGCTACCTACTCAATCAAAATTGGTTTAGAATCAGCCTGTTTTAAAACTTGCAAAGGTCTGTACTGACCTTTGTGAAGGAGTTATTCT